TTTGATTTAATTTCAGGATTCTTTAATAATACATTAAGCAGATCAATCGTTTTCATTATTGCTTTGATTCTTGTCTACCATGTGTGTATGTCACCTTCATTGAGAAAAACGACATTTACCTCTACTGCGAAGTGGTACGACACTTACTTTCGTTTTTAATATATATATTCATTTCTATGCTGTTTTATGCATCGTTGGTTGTCACGTTGATTCAAATAAACCAAAATAAACAATTTTCGCTATGTGTTTTTTTTTAGTCCATTATCCTTTATATTAATGACGATTGAAAATAGAATATTCTAAAAATTAACATAATACAATTGTATAAAAATGTTATTTCTGTTGGATTCAGAAAATATGAATAAATCATCGTATCTGTCAAGTAGTGTCACTGGCTCGATCATCTTTCACTAAATACTTTGAGAAGTAAAAAATAAAAAAAAAACCTAGTCTAAAACAAAATCAAAAATCTAAGACCATATTCAAATTCCTCGTGCAAACACATATTGAATAATATTAAATTTAATTTTATCCTTAAACGTAGAACAGGAGAAACATAATCACAAAAAATAGAGATTATGGTCCTCTATTATATTCATACTATGTCTAAAAAGATTTTCTTTCTAATCGCATAAACTGTCTGTAGATCAGTTAAAAATCAATGGAATTGTTTCATCAGATACCTTGATCTTATATATTAAAATATAGCATAAAATCTGCAAAGATATGCATTACATTTATGAACAAACAAGATTTTAAAAAAGAAAAGTAATTTTAAAACAAAATCATCAGTCATAAATAATTTGTCGTTTTGTCTACGAATCATTGGAAAATTGTATATTGATATCTATATGGCTTTTGATATCATCTTAGTCGAGAAAAATATTAGTTTATCTGTACGAATTATCGCATGATCATATATCATGTCTAATTCTTTTTTTATTAACTTCGATTGTTTTATATACAAGTAACGCTCGTCGCTACGCCCTCGCTTGACCCTCGACTGAAGTTTTGTCTATGAAAAGGTTAGGCCGTCTTATGAACGGAATTCCTAATAATATAGATGTATATCTAATTTAATACTCAAGGTCTATTTAGGATAATTTTTATGTAAAATGATGTTTGTTATGTACAAAGTATATAAAAAAGGTGCTTCAAAAATCGATATTATGCAACTATCGGCAGTGCATTGTGATATTGCTAGCTACTTTTTAATTTTTTCTTCTCAATCTTACTAAATGACATACATTGCAATATTTGTAAGTTAAGCGTTGCATTTTCAGACGTGGCTCAGGTTATAAGCTCGTACAATAGCATGAGTTTAAGTATCCTGTGATGGCAGCAATATAACAAAATCATTTTAGTGCTACTCGGTACTTATGTATATGTTGAGTTGCTTTAAATGCAGTGCGACTATGATAATTCTATACTCTAATATATATATTATTCCAGAGAAGAATCCACTGTTGCCCCTCTTGACGACATTTTTACTGGATACCACTTTGCATAGATTTGTGCCACCTTAAAGTTGTGCTATATAAAAGAATGATTTAAGAAATAGAATTATTTTGTTATACTACTATGTAGTAATATTTTATTGCAAGCTGTATAATTAATGAAATAATACAAATAATTTCTATTTGTAGCCAAAACAAACGAAAAAGATATGACAAAAAGAAATATCTATAACTATTAAATACCATTCTAGCACAATATGAACTTGAAAATAAAAACAATACTACTATAAAACAAGCACTAGCAAAAATTTTAAAATGTAAATAAGCTTTTAGTATAGACATGAATAGTATAGACATGAAAAAACAAAAATGATATAAAAAGTAACTACTTTCAACTAATATGTTTTTTATATAATGATATAGTGAAGGAAAAAATTATTGAAACCACTCAACAAAATGACTTTGTGTATCAATATATAGCTTTTCAAGTCTTTCCATTTCAGCAACTTAAGATTCACTTGGTTTGATTAGCAGAACTTTGTAATCAAAATGACGTAAAATAATTAAATCAGCCAAACGCTTCACGCGTGATAAAGGTACATATACCGCAGCAATGTCGTCAGTATCATTTGGAAGTTTCAGATCAATTACAACTTTAGATAATGTTTGACCTTGACTCTTATGCGTCGTAATACAATAAGCAGGTACCAGTGGCAGTGCACGTCGTTTAATTGACAGCATTGCTTTACGATTTGATTTTAGCTTTTTGTCTTTTGGAAGGATGTCAGTTATGTCGACGCCAAACGTTTGTTCTACTAATGGTATTGGAACGAGCTTTGGTTGAAGATTTTCAAAGTTAAACTCAATTTTTGACCTGGTAACTTCAATTAAGGCATATAAAGGTAGATGCACGTATTGGGTGTTGTTCGGAAACATGTTAGATGAAGCATCTGTTGTGACAGAATCTTTTTCATAAACAAGTTGTCGAAAAATTCCATTCGTGCCATTAATAAGACCCAATTCAATAGCAAAATTTTGTGTTAAAATAACAGGCATTCCGAGAACAAATGGTAAAAAACCGGGTAAATGTTCTGTCTTACTGTCAGATAATTCTAATAGTTTTTTTATGAGTATTGGGTCTTCGATTCGTTTGCCTTTGCAAGTATTTTGAGCAACACACACCATCAATGTACAACCCAATTGTTTTGCATTATGAATCGCTGCTTTCTGGTTCAGTTGTGTTCGCACTTCATTGTGAAAGCCAAGAATTGGAGCCTAAATATTAAAAGGATGAAAAATTATTTTGAAAAGAAAGGAGAATTTACTTTGTTCCAAGGAGATTCTCAAAGAGAACCCACGGAAGGTTGTCCAACAACGCGTGTTAGTAATAATTCATAGTCGTCGTAATTGCATTGTCCTTGACGAAGTCGTTCCAACAATTGCAGATATCGTAGATCTTCTGTTCGCATCTGTTGTGTAAGTTTCACGACACAGTTAATTTGCAGAATCAAGGAATGCGCAAGACGTAGTTGAATTTCTTTTTCAGTAGGTAATTTATTTGATTTCTTTTTAGACGGTAATGACAAATCGGTATGCAATGGTACATCATAGACAGGTCGATATTGTAAATAGTCACCGAAAAAGATAACATTCACACCACCAAATGGAATCTGAGGATCGGCATGCTTAGCAGCAGAAATAATTCGATTGAGTGTTGCAAGTAAACTTAAACCAACCATGGTCATCTCATCTATCAATAGATATTCAACAAGACCCCATTCTTTTTCAAGTTTGGAATCACCCGATTTGAGGGTACGAGACTTTCCTGAATTACGGTGTTCACCTAAAAATGAATGAATTGTCATTCCATCAATTTCAGCAGCAGCAATGCCAGTTGGTGCAAGTTTTCGGATCATCTGCATTTTTTTGTAATAGAAAAGTATTTTGTGATAGCACGAATAAGTTGAGATTTGCCTGTGCCACCACATCCGGGTATACACATTATGAGCTGACCGTTATTGTCATCTATAAATATGATATTTCAATTTATGATTGCAAATGTAAAACAAAAACACCTGCATGACATCTTTTGTCACCATCAAGAGGATTTGTTATTATCATAAATGCAGCTCGCTGCTCTCTGTTCAATGTGAATTCATCAACAATGCTTTTCTGAGTAGGATAACTCGTAGTAATAAATGAAGCAACTGGAAGAATCGGAGCATAGTTTTCAAAATTGTTTTTATTATAATTATGCGGATTCACCACTGTTACATTGGCATCTTTTACAGCATACAAATCTAACGAACCATCCGTTTTGCCATAATTGCCCGTAATTAAACCTTGTCTAATTCTTTCTTTCTCTACCTTCAGCTGTTCTTGCTATTTTCTATTCAGTTGAAGAAGACTAGATATTGCACAGACAAATGGTACAAGTTGTTGATCAGTAAAATTGATAAATCCGTTTGAAGAAGATTGGCTATGTGCTGTAATAATTTTGTTAATGATTATTTTCAATCTTAATGATCATATCAAACTAATACTTACTATTTGTATTACTAAATCGTCCAACGTTCTCAACTGCTTCTATAGTTTCTTCAATGTATCTATTTTCTGTTCATTTCTTAGGAGCACTGATCATTTCACTTCTATATTCGTCTGAATTCGCTAGTAGCTCGAGTAAGTCATCATTGTCGTCCATATCATACTCGCCATCAGCATTTTGATTTGACGGCAAAAAAACAGGATCGATTGTGTCATTATCGGTTTGAGCTTCAGTAATAACTTGAAGTAAATATTCGTTGCGATCTTTTTTACATTCATGTAGTAGTTGAATATTTTCTATAATCTTTCGTGAATGGATAGATATAAGATGCTGTCGAGATTCAAGTGCTTCTTCCCATGTCTGATTCACATCAAAAAGATCAACTACAATACGCCAAGGCACGAAAAGCGTCAGAAGAGCTCAACCATATCGTTCTCGAGTGTCTTGACGATCGCATCTAGGAATTTGAGGACCATAAAGAACTGGTATATGAGCCTGACTGTGTTTCATCAATAAATGTGTTGTTGCCTGTGGATGTTGCTCTTGAAAAGCAAAACGCTCGTTACGTGGTCGACCTACTTTATTAGCTACTTCCGTGTCTGGTGCAGCAGTCGTGGATAAATGTTTCATATCTGTTGCATTCATTTTCTTCTTATATAGTGTGCTGACAAATTCATATAAATATATGTTATTGAGAGTCTCTGAGCGATATTGATAATCGATTCGTGTATTGACAAGTACAAATTTTTTATCATTTTCAGATGACTGAATCTGAAACGTTTCTTCTTCGTTATTTTCTTCTTCCATTGCTCCATCGTCAACTGTATCATCGTCAAACGTATCTATATAAAGAGCATAACAAATTAATATCAATTTAATTATAAGATGTATTCTCGACTAACCTATTCTTTTTCAATCTTTCGAATAAAGGTAAAAACATTATTTCTTCTCAGTGCTCACTCTAAAAGTATTTTACAAATTAATAATACTGTTTAATTAGATATGACGTTTTATAACTCAAAAACCTAAAATTGATGGTAGCATACTCACCATATGATGGAAGTTCCAAGTTTTTCTTGGAACGTATTTCATTCAATTCAATTTGTAAAAATCGCTCAGTTTGAATTAAATAGAGACCTTGAAATTTATGCGTCGTGTAATGATCATCCCAGTTCATAAGATAAGAAGCAACTTGAGCTCCAGACAGTTCTTGTTGAGAAGCCAGTGTGTTGTAACAACGTAAAACCAGTTTACGTGATTTTTCAATTTCACTTTCCGCGTCTCCCGAGTCTAGGAAAGTTTTCAACGACGTAATGCTTTTTTGTACAAGAGCAAATGTGTCATGAAAAGAGAGACTCATTTTAGTCACGTAATCGGTAATATAATAAACAAGCGCCTTTGCATCGCTACCAGTCCAAATAAATTTAATGCCCATGTTCGACCGACAAGCCACGATAAGATATTCATTAAAATTATTAATCCATGGATCCGATCGTCGCATAGAAATATGACCAGTACACAGTGGGGAACCAGGCGGACATGATCTCAAATTCTATTTTCCAAAATTTAAATATTGAAACGAATACGTCTATGATTAGTCTATCTTACCTTAAAACCAGATTTTCAAAAAACAAGTCGAACCTTGGAAAAACTCATTGACAAAAAAAACTGGTCATAAATCTGTAATTTTACGGAAGCCACTCTTTTGATCGACTTATCAAAGTAGTTTGAAGGAAAAAACTATGCAGAATGAATTGTTGATCCATGAGCTTTACCGTATCAAAAATTGGTTTGGTTTGAATCAGATTTGCAATAGAAGAGAAAATGGGTATTGGGTCCAAAGTGGGTCGAAAAAGTGGTCATGTCGTATTTTGTGAATGCTACAAAGAGTTTTAATCTGATTGAGCTGAAATTTTTGCTGGTTGTTCACCAATGTCTAATGTTTCGTCCAACATAGCGCCGTGTTGCATCAGTGAACACAGACCGAGTAACAGGTCTCCCAAAAAACCAGGTTTCCACCCCAGAACCTGTGGCTTGGTGAATATAAGAACATTATAACGCAAAACCAAGGTGATATTCGGAATTAGCTCGTCGAACTGCATCGAATCATATATAACAGTGAATGTTTTGAGAGAAAAAAAACCCAGTCACTAGTCCAACAAGGTTTTGAAACTCAGCCTTTCCATATTTTGTGAACGCTACAAAGAGTTTTAATCCGATTGAGCTGCAACTTTTGCTGGTTGTTCTCCAATGTCTAGTGATTTATCCACCATAGCGCCATCTCGCGCTGATCAGCATAGTCAGTGCTTTGGGTTTTACAAAAATCCAGGTGTGGGTGTGGGGTGTGGGTGTCGTTGTGGGTGTGGGGTGTGGGTGTCGTTGTGGGTGTGGGGTGTGGGTGTCGTTGTGGGTGTGG